GCAAGGTTTTTCCATCCTCCTATCAAAGCTACTGCCCATCTTGCCCGGTTGGCCCGAGTTTCTATTCAAAAAGGCTAAAACTCTCAACTCAAATTAATCAAACCTAAGCATTATATTTCAATAAAAGGATAAAGGATAAAGTTTTTGGCGTCAATCAATCCCGTCTGAGGGATGCGCCCCCGCACTCGACTTCAATTCAGAATCGTAGTGGCGTAATGAGTGCGTATGTGGCCTATACAATGACTTGCGGTGGCCAGCCGATGTACAAGTCAGTGCTTTTATCCTCCCAGACGAGTCTGGTACCAATTCACCGACCCCGGAGGGATGGAAGGCTTGGTTGGCCTAGGCGGGCATCGATCCGGGATTCGAACCCCTGACCGTGCGTGTGATTTAGTGCGCCACTTGCCACTACACCACCTCCGCCCATATTATATTTCAATATCAACTAAAATTTCCTTACAATTCAGTCTTTAGTTCATCTAGCCTGGACTGTAAGTAGGTCGAAAGTTTCTCGAGCTGTGATTTGAGACATCCAATAACCAGAGGATGTACCAGAAAGCGCTAGTAAAGAGGGACTTGTGTCAAAAGGTCCGAATGTCAGGTTGAGTTCCTCTGCGAGAAGCCAAGATTTCTATCACTGCGCAGCCAAATAGCTAATACATCCAGCTATAATACCCACTCCATTTCTTCAGAAAGGAATCCAGAAAACACTGATTGATGTTTCTGATCATTTCAGTACAATTGTATAAAAACTTTTCTATTTTGATTCCTTTCCGGTTGTTTTTCCCCAAAGACTTCGAGCCTTAACGGTGAAGTGAGTAATCGCAAATATGAGCTGTCCAGTAAATCTAGTGGCCGTTTGAGTTATAAGTTTGACATCTGGTTTTCCTCGTTTGTTTATCCGGCTCCTTGATTCATTACATTCGCTCGTTTTCGTCACGTGACAACTCACTTTCGGTCAAAATCTATTTCAATCCATATGTCATATTGGAGTGGGTATCGAGTCGCGTATCTATATTAAGCTTTCCAAATGTCGAGCGTGTCCGACGGCATTCAAGGAGTGACGTAAAGCCGATGTTCAATGACCATGTCTATGAACCTTGACGTTGTAAAGTACAAGCTCAGATAGGTAGAAGAAGGTTTGAGGTATTTGAATTTTAGGAATCGAACTGAATCAAGATTGATTAATGAACGCGGAATCAAGGGGACTCGGTCCCCTCTGGTTTCGATTGAATGTCTGAGTAAAGATTGATAAAGATCGCCACTCAAGGGTAGTCGCAAAGGTCATAGAGGGTGGTCTGGAAAAGGAGTAGGATAAGTGTAAGGAGTGTAAGTCGAGAACCAGAAAAACTTTTGGATTAGTGCACCATCAGAGGAGCATCTTTGTGCGAATTACAACTTGCGAAAGCCTAATTGTGTGTATCTCCTGTTTTTTTTTTTGAAATTTCTATGAATTTAATCAATTATATTATGCCTGAAAACGTGCTTTAATAAGTGAAAGAGCCAATGCTTAGTTGCTTCTTGTGAGATTGTTCTGTTATACTCTGTGAAGTAAGGCGTTCCTTAACTACATTTTTAACTTGAATAGTTTTCGGATTAAAAGTGCCCCTGAAATCCTTACTATTTCTGAATTTGTGAGCGAGCAGGCATCTTTGAGGATTCATTACTTCTAATTCGTGGAGCCCAAATCTTTGACCTCACTTTAATCTTTTTCTCAATCCTCAAATCGGCTTGGCTTTTGGACGTATGAGATAGCGAATTTGTGCCCCGTATTAGTAATGTAATCCTTATAGTTATAAATACATTCTGAAGAATGCTAAGAATTCGAACATTACCTCGAACACTTTACCTCGAACGATCGGTTTTCTACGTTCCTAATCATAGTGGTCGCGCATTTGTGGTAGGTTAATGAGAAAAACATGCAAAAGTATCCAATTAATGAATGGGTAGAAGGCAAGGGAAAACAAATTTGAAGCATTCCGAGAAAATACGGTTTTCACTCCTCCACGGTACGCGAATTGGTACAGGGGGACATTGAGACTTTTTATCTTCAAACTCTTTAGGCGAAGTTCGCGTACATGGCGCATCCTCAGATCGTTGCTCTGTACACATGCCTGTCGCAAGGAAACGATGCAGAATGTCAAAAAGAAGGCGTACAATCAGCGTTGAGAATGAGCCGTTAAAACTTCGGGCAACATTTGTGGATGCGCCAGTAGGCAAACTTCGCTTAAGGAGTTTGAAGATAAAAAGTCTCAATGCTCGTGGTACCAGTTAGTCGATCCTGGAGGGGTGGAAAGCCGGATTTTTTCGACTGTTTCAAATTAGTTTTTTTTTTCATTGAATCTGATTGGGTCGACCACATTACCGCTCCCAAATTTTACTCCTCTTCTTCGATAGGAGTGAGGCCGTGGTACCCTTCGGAGGGCTCAAAACCTCGTACCATTTGTTACACTTACTCCATCTCTCCGTTATAGTGGCAGAAGAAGTGGTACTATGATGAAAACCGTTTTTCATAGGGTTGAATCAGTAGGACTAGAGACAATCCAAAGGGACCGAGTCCCATCCAGATGCTGTCCTCACTTTGAATGCCTATGGAAGGTTATAGGTTAGATGGATAACTGTTCAACAGCATAGCTCTTCGGTTGCATGTGGAAGTTGTGAGAAGCACTGCTAAAGCACTGCTGAACTGTCTTTACCCTCTTTTGCTATTACTTGTCTCCCAAGTGCTTTCAAATGTACTTGTAAAACTTCACGTAATTAGATTCCGTTTATTGACGGCTTTTTCATTAAGACTTCCGAATGGCTGTTAGCGCCCCTTTTATTTTATGTTTGTCACGGAGAAATTGCTATGAGTGATGCTCTCTGAATCCCTCTCGAGCAAGCTGTTCAAAGAAATTATTCAATTTAATAGGATTATGTTAGGGAGAAAAAAGTGCGATATTGGAGTGCCGAAGCCTTATATATCATTAGACTTCGCTCTTTAGCAAAGGGGCTTCCGCAGGACACTATGTGTTCCCAGAAGACGAGATTTTTGTTGGAATAATAAAGGGTAAAGTGAGGTCTCCTTCTTGGAATGCGCTTCACTTCCGCTATTCATTTTTTCGGGCGGTAGTGTTGGTATCCTTTATCGTTCCACCGTCTTCGAGAATATCAGACTATCCTGCAGTGCACTGGCTGGAGGCAGCTATTTCTGGTGGCTTAGAAAAAGGTAGTTCCCCTGGAATCTGATGCGAGGGCTCATTGCACTCCCCAAATCCGCTCAAAGAAGTTTCTGGCTAATTGAATGCTGCTGTGTTTGTCCCAGACTTTCGAACCAGGGCCAGATCGATTGTGTTAGTCAACATCCGAAAAACGTCAATAGCTGAAGTTCCAAAGTCAGGTTTTACTGATTTTCTTGTTGTCGATGTAAATCCCCACCCAAGTTCTGCTCGATGAACAGTCCAGCCTCAGTTTTAGATCGAGCTAAGTACGTTCCCCCATTTCCTTAGGTTCTTTCTGCTATCGGGCTTGGGAAGGAAACTTGGCGCTCATCCATAACCCCCTTCTCTTCGGTTCTCCTAGATAATGGACGAAAACAGTAAAAAAAAGAAGTAGAACAAACTTCAGTTTCTATGAATGCTGACTATTTTTTATGAAGAAACGCTGCCTTAAAAAGCATTTAGTCAAATGAGTTTTGCTTAGAATGATCACCCTTTTAAAAAGGTTTCTAAGAAAAAATCGATTAATCAATAAAGTTACCTCTGGAAACCACTGGATTTCGTCAGGATCTTGAAGACCGTAAAGTACTTGTTTCTCGAGGCCATATAGTGGCTGACATGCTACCATTGCGACAAGAGCGAATAACCAAATCAGAAAGCGCATCTAAAGGAGTAATTACAATCGATAATCGATCCATACGTGGGTTCATGAATTCTGACGAATAAGTTTATCAAACGAAACAGTAGCTGGCTTCGGATGGATCGAGGAGTCTGGAGGATAGCTGAGAGTGGTATGGAATTTGTGAAAGAGGCAGATAGCGCTCGGACCAAAAACGACCCTTTGCTTGAGGATACGCCATGCACTTGCTTTTCATTCGAGTTCATGAAAGTGATCGAGTATACAAATTTGGGGCATATATGAATAGGTGTTCTGGGAAAAATAGAAGTAGATGGTTGCAACAATGCTACCTTAGTTTTTCGGTCACCTTTTAGAAAAACACGGTGCACTTACACTCCTTTTATAAAAAAATGTGAAAGCCTATCAATCATACATACGGTAATGCCAGTGTATTCATCAAACTTGTCATTACACTCACACGTAATCGATTTGGGCTAGTAATCATGGAGATGTCCAAAGCCCTCTCGAGCAATGGGGGAAGGCATACATCTGTAAATTGAATTCTCATTTGAAAGGATCTCAGCGAGTCAATAGAGATCTTTGTAGAAGTACCTATGGGAAATTCTGAATGGCACTGGGCAAAATAGATTTTGGCAATGACGTGAATAATGCCAGAGTTCGAAATGATTTTGCAAACTTCGTTTGCCCTCGAGTCGTTGGAAATCCCTGGTAATACCCAGAAGCTTGTGAATTCAGAGTTCGGGCAGAGTCCAAATTTTAAGGGATTTCCGAAACAGTTGCGCAAATTGAACACCTACTTATCAAAATTAGTCACTCTTAGGCACAATGAGTCATTGGAGGGTTTAGTGTTGCCGCCTCCAGCATAGGTTATATCACGTATTGGGTTCCTATTTGGTTTGGGGGCGAACTCAGAGGCGAACTCGGTCTGTTTGATAATTTCTGCTTAAGAAATCTGAGACCAGTCGGTCAAACACGAAGAAAACTCGAGCCAGGTGGAATACCGATCCTCTGGTGCGCAGGAAGACTAGAAGACTTCCCCACCTTATTTGTCATCAAGAAACGGGTGTCAAGTGAATCAGATTTAATTCTATTCCAGTTGCGCTTCGCATGAAATGATTGTTGATCATCCCATTAGAGTGAATGACAGACGCGTCTCAATAAACAAACATTTCTTCCTCTTGATCGCACAGTAACATGCAGAGGCAAGTGAATCATTCTGCCAGTAATTATTTTTTGCAAAGAAAGGTTTGAGTCAGCTATTTATAGTCACTGTAACTTACAGTGCTTTAGCCCGAGCTTTACGATGATGTAAACTGAGAAATTTCAGCCTAGCGACCGATTTTCCAATATGACAGACATAGTATGGATAGAGATCCTCTGAGGACCTTTTTATCATAGTAATTACTAGGGGTGAATGAGTTGAATAAATGGATGGTGGTCTCTTCATTAACGCCCGATCTATTTCTGAGGACAAATGGTTATATGACTGCATTTGAGGAGTGGGTTAAATGAGCCTGACATATTAAAGTGCTCTGGTGTTGTATTTGGGCCCCCCTTCAAGAAGGGGTCCAACAACGACACCAGTACCTTCCTATGAAAATCCGATGGGGTAATGAAGGGCTTTTGATTATGGTAAGGGACATGATATAAAGACATAGAGGAAACCTAAGCCCGCTAACATGGCAAAGATCTTTTAGTAGATGATATTGTATGATAATACAAGATAACCGACAAAGTCGTTGGTAAGCCAGGGCTCGATTCCATGTGCCTTTCTACTAACAGTGAAGACTTGTCGCTAAGGTGTGTCATGAAATGGGTGTGACGTGATGGAAGGTGAAGAGCGAAAGGAACTGAAGGCGAGTAGCCGATAAGTGAATGAATTCTTTGAGTGTCAATCGTCTGAATGGAACTGCACGTATTATAGTCAACAGAAAGACTGGAATATATCGGCTTTAGGCATAAGGAAAAAGCGTTTTCCCCGAACTGTACGCTGCTTAGGGTCATTCTCTGCTCTAAAAAACGAAGCCATGCGCAGTAATAAAATAAAATAAGCATTACAACTGAATTTGCATAATTTCTCTCACACGTCCTTCACTGGCTCTTGAATTGCGCAGAATGTCACACAACTGGTTGCAGTGTTTGAGGAATTCATAGGTTAGGGGAGTTCATAAGAAACACTTATCTGGGGGTATTTTCTTGCTTTCCAAACAAAAAGATCTGGGTTCGGTTAAGGTGAGTTGCGCGTCAGTCAACTGATGGTTATGGCTACACCCAAGGTTTCAGGAGGTCTGAGTGATAGGATAAGAAGATGATGTCTTTGGAGTTACCCTACATTTGGCCAAAAATCGGGACAGCTTTTCAGCCTTAGATTAATGCCCTTTTATTTGTTACAAAAATAAAAAACCCTTCGTGGATTTTCGTAAAATGTTAACTATTGCGCAAGTGCGAGTACAAAGAAATCAGTGCTCACCCGGAAGCGTGGGCAAAGCACCATATTAGGTCATTTTTAGAGAGAAGCCTTGCTTTTAATTGGTAGTGGCTTCTTTCATTATTAGAATTTTGAGTGCGGAGGCTGTGTAGAGGAGTCTTTGTATAATCGTCCTCTATGA